TTCCTTATTCCCATTCCCCCCAACCCTAGAATACCAATTCCCAACCTACCTTTCCACTGCACCCTCTGAAATGTCTTTTCCATAGGCAACAAACTTCCCTTTGATCTCTCTGGCAATATTTTCCAGCGTTGGCTGCATCTTCATTCTCTTCAGCTCACTGGACAAGGCAAGGGAAATCCTTGCTCCTCACTGGAACTTCCAGGTTCTCTCCCTACCTCCATCACTCAGTGATCTCTTCACCTTTGAGGACCATGGTATTCATATCTACTACCCATTCAGAATTCTGGTCACTATTGTCTACAGATCTCCAGGTCACTACCATCCTTCTTCAATTAGTTTGGTACCTGGCTCACAATTTTTCTCTTTCCCCCAACTCCTGCCCTCATACTACAATTCAACATACAATATTGACTTTCCCTCAGATGCTCTAACCAGTCACTTCCTCAATCTACTCAGTTCCCATGACCTATTCCACCATACCCTTGAACTTGACATTATCTACAAATGTACCACCTCCATGTTCAATAATTCTGAAATCATCTTATCTGACCATAATCTATTGGCTTTTCACCTTTCCCTCTACCTTCCTTTATTAAATCCTAGTCTTCATACAAACCTAGACCTCTAATCCATCAAATCCTCAATTCTGTACCAAACCATCATCCAACATTCTTTCTACCATACTTCCGACAAGTGGTTATCCAGCCTTTTCCTGAAGACCTCTTAAGTCAGCTTATTCCACATTTGGCAACCCTGGGAAGATTGTCTACTAGGGTGAATGTGAAGGCTTACATACTGGACTTTAAGCCCAGCCTCCTACTTAGGGTTATTAACTGCTAGGTGGTATGATGGGTAGGGTGCTGAACTTTAGGTTAAGAAGACCTGAGTCAACTCTTGCCTTTGATACTTACTAGTACCTTAACCTCTCAGCCTCACTTTCCTCTTCTACAAAATGGGCATTATAATATTATCTACCTTGCACAGTTATTATGAGAATAGTAAAGTACTTTGCAAACTTAAAATACCATATAAATGTTGGTTATTACTAGTATGAAGCAGCTATATGGTGCCATGGATAGTGCACTGACCAGAGGGTTAGGAAGACTTGAGTTAAGTTAATTATCTCAAATAATTAGTAGCTGTGTGACATTGGACAAGTAACTTAACCTCTCTCACCCTCAGAGTCTCATCAATGAAAAGGTTGGACCTAATGGTCTCTAAGTTTCCTTGTATCTCTAGATCCATTAAGGAATACCAGTTGGAGGAAACACTAATAAAAGAACCCAATGATATTCTCTATTTGAATGATACAACTCTTAGTTGTCTGCAGTTTTGATGGGAAAAGAGAGAATTCTAGCTTGATTGCTTAGTAAGTATAATTAAAATCATTTGCCTTTTAAAAGGATTCTTGGACCATATCACCCCTCAACAGTTTGTACCATGCAGCTGTAAATCTAATTGTGGTCATAAAATCATTTGTTAAAGTCCTATTTGGATTTTGGCTGCTTTCACAATACATTTCTCTTCTTCGATGAATGGAATACAGCAGACATTGAAGTATTGAATAACTCCATGCCAATGAAAATGTTCAGGTTATATTATGTTTTCTGTGACCACCTTATTTTTGTGGATTTAAGTAAGATATGGTACCTGCCTTCAGGGAGATTGAAATCTTACAAAAGGCCTAGGCCATTTTTTCACATGGAATACTGCTCAGCCAGATCTCTGTCATCTTGTGCTTCTGTTGTGTCATTATATCCATTTAATAGATTATGAAACTGTGACCCAGAATACCCAAGGTCACAGAGTGAGTTAGTGGCAAAGCCAAGACTAGGACCCAGATGACCTGACTTCCAGGTTAGCAGTCTTCATGCAGGATCCTGAGTCAGAGGCCTTTAATATTCACATCCAAAGCTTTCTTCAGTATTAAAATAGATCTTTCAGTCTACAACTGCAATACATTTTCACTTGAGGAACTCTGGGGCTCAATAGTAATAATCATCTACAGCTTTGTTCAGTCAATATTCTAATTGAAAGTCAAAAATAGGCCTTTGGTCTTTATTTAGCCATAAAATGGTAACACAAGGCATCATTACTAACACCATGTGTTCAGAAAACAATGAACCTGAAACAGCAGGGCTTTGAAATTCAGGTGGATTCCAACTGTTCTGTGCAACAGTTTCCAGTCTTTCTGAATAGTCTTTGTCCTGTTCCAGGAAGAATTTTTAGATTCTCACTTAGGAAGATTTTCTTCCCCTCTTTTTTTTTTATCCTTGAGTGCAGAGTCTGCATTATAGATTTTCTATAATCCAGGTGTCATCTATGTAATATTATTGTCACCTAAACGCCACTAAAAAGGCGTTGATATAATCAAGTAAACATTTCTGCAAAAAACTGTTGAAAGAGAGACAAAGTTTAGCTAGGGAATGAATATGCTTATAAAGTTAATAAAAACAGCTATTTAAGTTGTGCAGTGGATAGATTGTTGGTGTTGGAGTTGGAAAGACTTCAGTTCCAAATTTCCTTGCTGTGTGACCCTAGACAGGTTACTTAGCTTCCCTGAGACTCAATTTCCTCATCACTAAAATAGGGATAATAATAGCACCTACCTCACAGGGTTGCTGTAAAATCAAATGAGATAGTATATATAAAGTGCTCTGCAAATGTTAAAAATGTTATAGAAATTCAAATTATTGTTATTATTGAGTTTGCAAAGGAGCAAATTTAGAGCTGTAAGGGGTCTTAAAGTCTATTGAGTCCAACCTTTTCATGTTATAAGTAAGGAAACTGAGGCCCAGAATGGTGAAATGAGATATTACAAATATTAGGGTTAGATATCTCAGTTTAATTTGTAATTTCATTGGGTTCTGACTTCATTTGTGTTACTCACGGTCTCCAGAAATGGGCAATTTGCAGGTGATGAACCTGAGATATTTAAAGAATTTAAAGATATTTCTTCTTTGCCAGGGTGCAATTATACTGTATACATGAATACCACCCAGATATTATGAATGAACACCCCAGGTCTAGATTATATTGGAGATGACTGGACCAGAAGCAATTTTTTCATTGTGTCCACACTCATTCTTCTGCTTCCTAGGACTAATTGACTTATTGAATAATACACATTTATGGGCCTGGCACTGGGCTAAACACTAAGGATGTGAAAAAAAGCAAAAGATGTTCCCTGCCCTCAAAGAGTTTACAATCTAATGGGAAAGGCAACATGAAAACAAATATGTACAAAGCAAGTTATATATAAGAGAAATACGAAGTAATTAATGGAGGGAAGGCACTAGTATTAAAGGGCTTGGAGAAAGCTTCAAGTAAAAGAACAATTTTAATTGAGACTTAAAAGAAACCAGGAGGTAAGTAGGTAGAGCAGAGGTGAGAGAGCATTCCAGACATGAGGAACAGCCAGAGAAAATTCCCAGAAGCAAGAGATGGAGTATCTTCTTTGTGGAACAGCCAGGAGGTCAGTATCACTGGGTCAGAGTACCTGGTAAGAGTAAGGTGTAAGAAGACCGGAAAGGTAGGAAGAGGTAAAATTTTAAAGGGCTTTGAATGCCAAACAGAGCATTTTGTATTTGATCCTAGAGGCAATAGGGAGCCACTGGAGTTTATTGAGTAGTAGGGTGGCATGATCAGACTTGCACTTTATGAAAATCACTTTGGTGGTTTTCCTATAGAGAATAGCCTAGAGTGGGAGAGACTTGAGGAAGGCTGACCCACCAATAGGCTATTACCATAGTTGAGGCATGAGGTAATGAAGGCCTACACCAGAGTGGCGGCAATGTCAGAGGAGAGAAAGGGGGGATATTTGAGAGAGTTACAAATGTGAAATTCACAGGCCTTGGCAACAGGTTGGATAATGGGAATTAGAGATAGTGAGGAGTCCAGATGACTCCTAAATTGTTAGCCTGAGAGACCAGGACAATGGTGTAACAGGGATGAGAGAAGGGGAGGGTTTGGGGAAAAGATAATGAGTTCTTCTGTGGACATGGTAAGTTGAAGATGTCTACTGTATATAAAGCACCACCTCTATGAAGGATTCATAGACTTCACAAGGATGTAAAGTTGAAAGGGATTTCAGAGGCCAACAAATTCAACATCCTCATCACTTTGTAGATGAGAAAATTGAGTCTCAGGGAGTTTAGGTGACTTTTTCAAGGAGACATATTTGTGGGTGTGTGTATGTGTGTGTATAAATAAATACATATTTATAAATATATGTATGCATGTATGTATGTGTGTATATTCATTACAATAAGATTTGAGGACCAAAGTAGCTTGAGGAATCCAGGGACTAAGGATATGTAGAATGTAAGCTCCCTGATGGCAGGAATTGATTCAGTTTTTGTCTTTATATACTTAGCACAGTATAGAACACTTAGGATAGTACCAGGTCCCTCTTAGGTGCTTAATGAGTATTTGCTGTTATTGTATAAGATTGGTACTTGTTAAAATCAAACATTGATCAAATTACAATGCAAGGCATTAAAAATAACTTTTGGCAGCAAGGTGGCACAGTAGATGGAGTGGTGGAATTGGAGTCAGGAAGACCTCCCTTCAAATTTCTGCCTCAAATACTTACTGACCCTGGGCACTGGATTTCACAAACTCCATGTGAGGATTCAATGAGATCATATATATATAAAGTGCTTTTCAAACCTTCAAGTGCTACATAAATGGCTGCTAGGTTGTTGTAAACACTAGCTCTCTGGCGTCTAAGTCCCAGCACAATTCAGAGTTTTGCTTAGATTGCTAGAAAACATATATTGCTGAAGCATAGATTCCCCTCAAAAAAGTTATTTTGATGGTTTCCATTCATCAGTTTTCTACTTCCTATTAGTAAATCCACTTGTCTCCCCCTGGCATGTGGGCATAACTTTTAAAGACATTGAATGTTTTACACTGGTTTCTTGGTTTATTGCTGTTGTTATTGTTGTTTTCCCTTGTATTCTAATGAGGAGATTTATTCTTTTTTTTTTCTCTTACAGGAACTTGAATTCCAGGACCTGACAGCTATTTTACATTGCATACACTCCTTTATTGCTGCGAAAGTGGCATCGGTAGATCCTGTGTTTATAGACAGCCAGAGTATTGCAAGAAGATACATGTATAGCAACTGAAAATTGCCTCTGTCGAGTGATTACTGAAAATTAAATTATTTTCTTAAGAAATTAATTCTTTCCTGAACAATATTACAACTTTGTGTGATTTTATAATGAGCCTATAGTTGTGATACCAATAAAATATGTAACTAGTTTCCAAATTTGGGTCATACTTGTTAAACCTGACGATTTAGAACATGTTTGTTCAGGGCAATCAGATTGTTGTATGTGATACAAATCAGAATTCCTAAGTTAAGTGGCCCATAGCATTTCTACTATCATTTTTATAAGAAATATGGGACACCAAGGACTTTATTGCCCCTGTTGGGAAGATTCATCAGTAATATAAATGGAAGGACTGGCTTTCCACCATTTTATTTTCTCTTTAAAGGTAAGAGGCTGGCTTAGTCTGCTAGTCTTGCTTTTGTGAGAGATGATGTGAGGGAGAGATGTTGAAATAGAATTCCTACAATGTAGGCTCTTCACAATATTTTTTTAATTTTTTCTTCTCTAAACAGAAAATCTTTCCAGTGGTTTTTTTCTTTATTCATTTTGCTTAGTTTTGTTTGGTTGTGTTTTTGTTTTTGTTTTTTAATTAAAAAGAACTTTAATGGAATCAGTTGTATTTTCCTTTCAGGAAAACATGATGCCATTTCTATATGCATCATGCACATTTCTCAAAACCACACATGTACTGCAAAGAAAACAGAAATAAAACAGTAAAATTAGGTAGTTCGAGAGCTCTCAGCAACTAAATCTCAGGATCCTGTTGTCATCAGGACGTAAATGAGCTGATAGCAGAAGAAATAGTAGGCCAAAGTAAATTGTGCTCCCAACAACCAAGCTGATTCATGAGTGCCCTTCCTACATATCTGATATTGAGGAAAGAAGAGAAATGTTTTTTATTGGAGCAGAAACATTTCTAATTAATATAATATTTAATAGTACTTTCATAAAAAAAATTTCCCGAAACATATTCATGGTTTCTTTTTAAAATTTCCTACTGAAATAATATATTTTATATGGCTAAAATTTTAAAATGAGATGCTGTAGAGGAAATGATGCTGGTATAGTCCCGGAGAACTTTTAACTACATGATTATTTATCCTATTCTTTCAACCCAGATTTTCCATTAATATTAACCTTAAAAGGAACTAAACAGTAATAAAATATTCACAGGCCTAGAAGATTGAAAGAAGAATATTGTTTTCCCATATTTTTTTTCAAATTTCTGGTTTTGTCCCCCAAACCAAAAATAATATTTGGCTTTATTCTTTTCTTTGAAAAAATATTTTAAAAATCTTAGAAAATAAGGATGTAATTCTGTAGGTAAGAAGAAAAGGTTAAGAAATTTTGGTGGTTGTATTTAATTTTGAGAAATCTTTCCATTTGAAAATCATAACTTGACTAAATTTGGTAGAGAAAAATAAATGTAAAGAATGTGAAAAAATGTTTATTTCCTAAGTAGGAAAACATGCCTGAAATTAATACAACTATAGCACTAAATAAGACTTCAAAGATTATCTGGTACAGCTATCCCTTTTATAGGTAAGAGGATCCAGAGAAGAGACTAATTCTCCAAGATCACCCAGGTAGTAGCAGTAGAGCAGGAGCAGGAACCAGGTTTCTTGATTCTCATAGTTTTGTAAATTTAAAACTGAAGGGGATTTTAAATGTCATCTAGTCAACTTTTGTTGTTTTACAGATGAGGAAACTGAGGCCCAGAGAGTAACTGACCAATGCAATGAATAGCAGAGACAGGATGAAAATCCAGGTTCTCAACTCCCACACCAGTCGATTTTCTGCTAAACCACACAAAATCGATGACTTTTGTCCTTAGTTCAGTACAATTTCCACTAACAACAACCACTATAATGACAATGATGATGATGATGATGATGATGATAGTGATGATGCTGTGATAAATAGTATTTTTATAGCATTTTTAAGGTTTGTAAAGGGTTTTTACATATATTATCTAAAACAATCCTCACAATAACCCTGTTAGGTAGATGCTATTGTCCTCATTTACAAATGTAAATACTGAGGTCCAGAGAGGTTAAGTGACCAGCCCAGAGTCACATAGCCAGGAAGTATCTGAGGCAGGATTTGAATTCAGGTTTTACTTTGTATATTTCTATTAGGATCTCACCTTTGTCTGTTTCTAATAGGATGTAACAAGCCAGAATAAATCTTAAAGAATTCCCAGCTTTTATTTTTTAGGGAGAAGACACAAGCCTCAGGTATAACCACATAAAATGATCATTTTCTTGAGATTATAAAGAAGAGATATAGAATATTTTTTCCCTTACATGGGAATTAGAGACCATTTGCATGCATCCTTTTATTTCTTTTTTTCATTTTTTTTAGCATTCAGGATTATGAAGAAAAAAAGTCTATTGTAATGTAGGTTTTCAACACTCAAGAAGGCATTATTTGGTTAGTTCAAAATAAGAGCACAACACCTCTATGACTTGATTGATATTCTTTGAAATATGCTATGGCCAAAAAAATTTTATATATATAAATACTACCTTGTGGCAATCCTAGTGATGAGCCTTTCCAAACTTAGGTGGTAGCCTGGGCTTTATCATTAGCCCTTTATTCAACCTGAGTTCAAATCCAGCCTCAGATACTCACAAGTTATGTGACCCTGGGCTAGACACTTAACCTCTATTTGCCTTAGTTTTCTCAACTGTAAAATGCAGATAATAATAGCACTTCCCTCAAAGAGTTTTTTGGGCAGCTAAGTGGCACAGTGAATAGAACACAGCTTGAAATCTGGAAGACTCATCTTTATGATTTCAAATCCAGCCTCAGACACATACTAGCCGTGTAACTCTAAGTAAGTCACTTAACTCTGTTTGCCTCAGCTCCTCATCTGTAAAATGAGGTGGGGAAAGAAAGGGCAAACCTCTCTATTGTCTGCCAAGAAAATCCCAAATGGGGTCATGAAGAATTGGACATGACTGAAATGACTGAAGAACAACAACATGAAGGGTTATTGTGAAGATTAAATGAGATACTATTTATAAAGTGCTTAGCGCACTGCCTGACACACAGCAAACATTATATAAATGTTCCTATTAATTTTTTTTGAAAGAAAACTTTCCAGCTTAGTGGAACTTACCAGAACATATACTTTTCTGGGACAACCTTCAGGAATCCACAGTCACTTCCACCCCACAATGAGGTACAATAAAATAAAATGGTTTAACGAGGCTAATTAATTAAAATTGAAACATTCCATTTAAGATTAAAATTTTGTAAAAAGGAAAAGCATTCTTCTACCTTAGATATGCACAATTGTTGCCATGTGATAAATACCAATCATAACATTATATTAAGGCATTCAGCATTATATCCATTAATTTAGTAAACACATATCAATCAACATGAGGCTAAATGTCCCAGTGGATACAGTGTTGGACCTGGAATCAGGAAGACCTGATTTAAATCTGATCTCAGACACTTCCTGGTTGGATGACCCTGTGCAAGTCACTTAACCTTTGTTTACCTAAGTTTCTTCATCCGTAAAATTGGGTATAATAATAGCATTTACCTCCAAGTTTTGTTGTGAGCATCAAATGAGGTAGAATCTGTAAAGTATTTAGCACAGTTTCTGGCACATATAAGCACTAAATAAATGTTAGATTGTTATTATTATCTATCAAGTGGCTATGAAGGACAAAACCTAGCTACTTAAAGGAAACATAAAGATAATTAAAATGTAGTTTTCTGCCTTTAAAGAGTTTACTTAAGGAGTTTACAAGGGAAATTAATAAGAACAACAACAATCACAAGGATTTTATATAAGTTATGTCATTGATACTCACAACAAACCTATAGAGTAGGTACTATCATTAGCTCTTTTTTACAGGTGGGAAAACAAAAAACAAAGAGGGTAAGTGACCTGCTCAAGATTACTCAGCTAGTAACTGAGGCAGGATTTGAACTCAGGTCATCCTGACTTTAGCATTCTATCCACTGTACCATCTAATATGTCCATAGAGAAGATAAAACACATACCCAGACAAATTTGAAGCAAATCATTAGAATATGATCTATGTATAATAGAAATGCAAATCACTCCCAGAGTAGAAGAGGAAAAGATTCATTCCATCTGTGAGGGTCAGAGAATGTTTCACGGAGACAAGCTTGTTATATATGTGCATTCAGAAAGGGAAGCCCTGGAAAGCTCTAAAGACCATCATTTATACCAATCGGTAGGCAAACATTTTATTGTCTTTTCTGAGAGTTTCAACTGCGGTACGTGTAGGAACGTGGAAGGTCTATTTTAGACTTAGATAAAAAGAGTCCTGTCTCCATTTTTCCCCAAGCCTAGTGGTAGAAGTGATGAGTAAATTATGACAAGGGGAAAAAAAGAATTGAAGGATTTAAATTTAAGAAAGCTCACGTTAGACACTATCGCAGCTCATGAAGGATGCCTGATGCCAAGGAATGGAATTTAGTTTAAATAATAAAACTAAAAAGAAAGGGAATGCAGGCAGTGGGCTGAGATGGCTGATAGTCAAGGCCAAGCTAGGTGCAATGTTAATGAAGATAGTGTCTGCAGTGAGAAGTTAAAAGCATCAGGAGTCATATTAAATGATCCCAGTGCATTTCTCTTACTCTGAAAGCTCCATTGAACCATCCACCTTTTAAATACCCATTGTTTTAATAACCTTGAAGTATATTTCAGTGTAACAGCACAGTACTACTGAGCCAGCCCATTCCCTCCCATTATAGTGTCTCTGGTCTGGGTTTAAGAGGTTACTAATAACTTAACAATAGAGAACTAGTCCTTCTAAAGCATCCCCCTCAACTCCGGACCCATATGTGTGAACTGTACTCAGTCCTAGGGTAGTTTGACCCCTAAAAAGAGGGGTGAACAGGAATATGCTGGTCAATGTTTAACAACAAGCTCTCCAAAAACTAGATGTACTTTTTTTCATTTGTATTATTCATTTTCTCCATCATTTTCTTAAGTCAAGACAATCAACAAAACAAGAAATCAA